CGCTCACTGACAGGGCTCCCCTCAGCTCGCCGCCTCCGTCCTCCTGCTGCAGCCCTAGGGGCTGAGATACGGTATCTGCCTCTTCCGAGAGCTGCTTCGCCGAGGGGAGAGACACCAGATATTCCAGGAATTGACAGCGGGGGTTCTGGGAATTTACGTTGCTCTCGGGCCGTGGTGCGATCCTGCCGGCTCTGAGGGCTGCCGGGGTGTGGGTGGGAGAAGGGGCAGGCAGAGGGCTGGGGCGTACAGAGCTTGTGGGGGATCCAGACCTCTTCACGTGGTAATCGGTTTGGAGAGGTGAGATAAGGGTGTGCCTTATAACGCAAAATGGAGGCTTGGGGGAGAGCATAACCACAAGGAGGCCTTTCGACACCAGCAAGAGGCTCCCAACAAGCTCCAGCAGTGAGAAACAGTGAGGTAAGGAAAGGATCACAATTCACCATCCTTCCTTTTCTTTTTAATTGTTGCCAGCCCTGTCTGACTTCACACAAACTCTGAGTACGTAAAATGCTCAGGGGAATGGGATGTGCCCTTTCTGTTGGTGCACCAAGTCCTACCTGTTAGAGGCAGCGGGAGGAGAACACCACAAAACAGACTTGCAGCATTTCTTCAAACCGTGAAGAGGCACCTGGGAGACATGTCTCAAAATGGGGCTGTTTTGCTTCAGGAGTATGAAGAACCTCCCCAAATGGAGCATATTTTGTCCTAGTATGGTCTCCAGAAGTGGGTACCCTATTCCACAGGAGGCCACAATAGCACTTACAGACAGTAAAAGCTTTATTTTGCATGATCGTTGTAAGTATATATGTCCTCTTGTAATGTTTGCTTTTCTTCTAACAGTGCAATATCAACGTGTAATCTACTGTAACCTCCAGTCCTGGTTTGCAGTGCTGTTGCCTGACCCCATGTTTTCATTTTCTGTCTCTGCGGATCATTGTTCATACTTAGAAGGTGTTATTGGTCCTTATGACTTTATGTTGATTTTTCTTCTTCCTTCAAACTGTTTCCCCCAGTTCTTTGACGTCGTTTTGAATTTTCATCTTCCTCTTCAATGGGCTTGTTGACAGCCCAGCATCATCTACAAATGCCATAAGCACATTAGTGAAAACATAGAAGTGTGTGTCTGCCACACTTTTGGAGGCAGACCTCAATGATGACTGCCTTATTGGAGGCACTCCTTTGTTTCCTTTTAATGAGTTGTTATCTTGCTGTTCAAACAATGGTGCAAATAGCTTTACTTCACTATTGACGATCAGATGTTGACCTGAGATTGCAAAATGCTGTTCCTTGCAGTATTTCCAGTCAGCTTTAGTGTCTGTTAAATGCACTGAGGCAGAGTGAGCCTCCACTTCATGTGCTTGTGTATGGGGCTTTCAAGGTAGAATAAAGTGGAGCCCGTTTTCACTTTGAGCAATTCCTTGAAACTCCTTCAGTGCCTTGGCCGGTCAACATAGCGCTGGTTCCTGTCCACAAAAGCTTCAACTTTGTTTTCTAGGAGGCACAACGAGAAGTAAGCAAGCTTCTCTGCGTTGCTTATCACTTTAAGCATATGCCCTGTTAGTCTCTTACAGTGACTGTGCTGCTTTTATTTTTGTAGAGATGATACTCCTCACATCCCCAATGAGAAGCTTGGAGAAGAAAAGGTTCTGCACATAATAGAAAATCTGACTTCTCTGATAAAAGAGACATTTCCAGGTAGGATTTGAGGGGATGAGAAAGGGAGAGGGGCACAGAGCCTCATAAGAAGAGCTTACTGGGGTGGAAAAATGACAGAACTGGGAAGGGGAAAGGCACAGAAGGGCTGTGGTCATTGAGACTTGTTTGTCCTCTTCCTAGTTGTTGTATGGCATGAGGCATGTCTAAATTGAAGCGTCTGATGCACACTCATTGTTTCAGGATAACTCACTCAGAAGAGAAGAGAATAAACATTTCTGTAATTAGTTCTTAAGACAGAAAAGGCTGCAAGATTTCCTCACACTTAATCCACATCAGCAGTGGGGGAAGGAGCATTATTGATGGTGAAAGCTCACTGATTCATCTGTAAAGCCATGGCTCTGGAGTGGCTTGTCCCAAGGAACGATGATCTTTGCAGTGTTGTACCCCCTGTCAATGCAACCACATGGCTGTGGTGTGGATGATTCACTTTTGCAAAACTCTCAAGCCATGCTGTTCTTTCCAAGTCTGTGAGTGCCTCAGGGAGCTTTGGTGCTGAGGAACTCTGAAGCAAGCATGGATTCCTCTGTGCCTCCTTTTCTCTGTCTCTAGATACTAAAGTCTATGCGGCGATGGGCAATCATGACTTCCACCCCAAGAATCAGTTTCCAGGGAAGGAACACAGGATCTACAACCGAACGGCTGAACTGTGGCATCCCTGGCTGAATGATGCTTCCATTCCTCTTTTCAGAGCAGGTGTGGCACCACTGGCTCATGTTGGCAGTACTCCGGGGAAATGGGGGTGGTTAGGAGAATGCCACGAATGATTTTCCCTGGTTCTGTGCTCAGAGCAACGCTATTTATAGAGTATTTGCAGAGAAAGGGTCCAATTTAATGCTGAGTTCTCCTGTTTGTGAGGAAAGAAATTTCTTTATGCTTTAGTCTCTCCTGCTTTCCTCAAGTTACTGGGAAGTATCCCTACAGAGAATGCGGAGTGGTGAGCTTCAGTGGAAGAAAAAAGATCTTTTAACAAAGCTGCTGGTGCATGCAGCACTGCGGCTCTCTGGAGCTGCACAGCTCCTAGTGGTGCACACTGTCCCCATGCAGGGTCTCCCTTTGCCTTGCGAGGCGTAAGCATGACAAGAGGCACACAGCGGGAAGAGTCACTCCAAATCCCCATCCTGGAGTGGTCAGAGTGCTGCTGGCACCTTGTCCAGACAGCGACACTGCTGTGGCTGTTGCCAGGGAGAGCTGAGAGGGATGGAAACAAAGGGATCTGGGGTCACCAGCGCGACCAGACCTCCAGCTCTTGCCCTGTTCATTGCATTTTTCAGGAGCTTTCTACAGTGAGAAGCTGCCCAGCCCAGGGACAAGGGGGCGAATGGTTGTCCTCAATACCAATCTGTACTATGACCAGAATGATGAAACAGCTGGTGAGGAAGATCCTGGAGGGCAGTTCCAGTGGCTGGAAGAAACGCTGACCAATGCCTCTAGAGCCAATGAAATGGTATTGAAAGAAATGAATAAACCAACTTTGTAGAGGGCTTCTTCCAGCTTGGAAGCTCTTCTTGTTCCTGCTCTCCACCCTGTGCAGTCACAGCAAACCAGTGCTCTGTGGGAACCCTGGGCTTTGTGTTCAGTGCAACTCTTGCTTTTGTAGGTCTACATTGTGGGGCACGTCCCTCCTGGCTTCTTTGAGAAGAAACGAGGCAAGTCCTGGTTCCGGAGTGGCTTTAATGAACGATACTTGAAAATCATGCAGAAGCACCACAGAGTGATTGCTGCCCAGTTTTTTGGGCACCATCACACCGACAGCTTTCGGATGTTTTACAGTGATACAGGTACCGCTTCTGGCCACCCAAGCATTTGAGTGATACCTCTACCAACTCCCAGAAAAATCACTGTTGATCAGAGTTTTCAGTGGCTGTTAGCTGAATGCAGCTGAGAAGCCAGAAAAGGCTTGTGAAATGCTTTGGTCAAGAAGAGACAACAATGATTCTAATCTCCACCCCCCAGGCTGTAGCTCCAGCTCTCCTTCCTGTTTACCCTCAAATTTTGTTGTTTACCCTCAATGTCTTGCAACTTCTTTTGGACATCAGCTGAGACATAAAGGAGCCATTATGGATCTTTGCATTGGAGTTACGGGTAGTGCTTTGGGTCTCCTTTGCTGAACGTGGTTGTCTTGCGCACCCTCACTGCAAGAGTCTTTGACAGCAGTGGAAAGCCTGTTCTCAGCTGCAGCAGTCCCATGTTCAATCCCTGCTACTGTTCAATGTGCTGATCTTTATGCGTGCACTGTTGTCACTAGGGCTGGTGACAAAGCTGTTGTTTGCAGTCTGATCAGGTCCCAGGGTGCTCACTGCAATGTGGACAGGGTGTGATTACAAGTCAAGGTCTCCCATTCATGGGTTATTTTGCCTTTCTGTTAAGGTTCTCCAATCAACGTCATGTTCCTGACCCCTGGAGTGACTCCCTGGAAAACAACACTACCTGGAGTGAACAACGGAGCCAACAACCCTGGGATTAGGGTGATTGACTATGATCCAGACACCCTGCAAGTGTTGGTATGGGACCCCCATGTGCTGCACACTGCAGTTCTAGAAGAGTACTTAAATTCCTCTGTGCCATTTTAACAGACAGGACTACAGGAGTAGTCTATGTAGGAGAGGATCTCAACCAAGATATTTCAGCCTCATGTCTAGTGCAAAGATTTAGTAAGAGTGTCAGTGAGTAAAGGCAAGGTTTTTGTCGCATTCTTCCTGTCTTTAGCTAGTTTCCATTGACACCTGCCTTACTGCCCAGGTAACATGGATTGCGGAACTTCTCTTTGAGGACTAACAGACTTGTCAAGCCCTGTCCAAAAACTTTTAACCATCTAGGAAATTATTTGGGTCCCCCTACATCCTAAATGCATTCATTTGTAACAGGTCTGACTTTAGGTGAATTGTCAGAGAAGCTTCTGCTTCCTCTGTCTCTTATTTGCAAAGAGGTAAAGGATGGGGTGTTTGTGCCTTTCTTTGCAATGGATAAAACGGCTCTGTAGATGCCCTGTTTACAGGTTTATAGCATGAGAAATGAATACTAAAATACACTGTGGAAGGCCAGGGAGCTAGTGAAGCAGAGAGAAAAAGGGCAAGAGACTGAGAACAGAAGTTGTGAAAAACTTCAGTTTGTTCATAGTTGAGAAAATAACTTCACTCAGTAAGTAACACTGCTCCAACCCTTCCTTTGATGTTGATAGTAAATAACAGAGTGATTCTGAAGCAGACCAGGCTCAAATTTCCTGATGTTTGGACATAAAAGTCAAGCAGAGAAAAGCCATCCCTTATGAAACAGGGTGCTTTTGTGGTGAGTTCTGGAGACTCTCAGCTAAGGTGTCTGTCCCCAGGTTTGTGTCTCGGTAGAAAGCACCCGTTGGGAGGCAGCTCACCCCTCGCTGGGCAAGGAGATGCGCTGCCTGCGGTGAACATGTGTCTGTGGCGCTGCACGGACAGCCCCTGGGAGAAGGGACTGATCACATCCCAGCCAAACATTTCACTCAAGGACCAATTCTTTCCTGATTTGTCCTTGTTTTTCTCTCCCTGTAGGATATGGTGACTTACTACTTGAACCTAACTCGTGCCAACATGATGGCCTCAGCATGGGAGGAAGAGTTTCCAACATGGGAGGAAGAGTATAGGCTGACAGAAGCCTTCCAAGTCCCTGATGGCTCTGCGCATTCCATGCAAATGGTGCTGGAGAGGATATCAAAGGATCCGCGCTTTCTGCAGCAGTACTATGAGTTTAACTCTGTCAGATATGACCTCACCCCATGCGAGGAGCCCTGCCACGTTGATCATGTTTGCGCCATCAGGGAAGTTGATTTTACAAAATACAACGAGTGTGTTAAAACCAGCAGTTCTGCCTCTGCCGTCATCAGCATTTGGCTTTTATTTTTCTGTTTGCTCTTAGGACTTCTCAGGCCCCAGCAAGCACTGTTATGACTGAGGGCAAGTGAAAATGAAGAGAGCACACGTTCACGATGCACATGAATCGGCAATTGTAAATGTTTTTGGCATTGAGAACTTACTGGGAAACCAAGACAAAATCAGTGGCTTTTACTAAAAGCTCTGTGATGTTTATTTGAAATCTGGAAAATCTTGATGTACTAGGAAAGGGCAGTGATTGCCACCAAGTCATTTTGTACCAGAGTCACTTGCGTCAGGGAGTCTTGCTCCGTGCCACTGTGACTTCTGAGCTAGTCGCAAATCAGATGAAGACCAGGCCTCCCTATGGACTTTAACTTACAATGGGTGAGAGCTGTGAGCTGCCACGTGTTCCCGAGGAGTCTGCTGCCAGGTGGGTTCCTCATGTTGGCGCATGCTGCTCTTCCGGAAAGACCACACAACTGGTGACCTGGCAGGTCTTTTTTTGGTGACCTTGTACAGCAGCAGCCTTGCCTTTGGCTTATGAGGAAAGCCAGGTGGGATTAGTTCTTGCTTTGACAGACTTCAGCAAGTTTGGGCCCATGCCCAAGATGAGGCTCCAGGGTAAGAAGCTTGATTTATTATTACTATTTTTTAAATTTTCATTTATTTTTTCCCCCAATTGCTGAGCATAAAGGGCTCTTCTGTGCTCTCTTAACTCACATCCACTTAGTTTCTTCCTTCAGCTGGGCATCACAAGCTGACCTTGACCGCATTGTCATTAAACACTGAATGATTTGGTGATTTACCGGCCTTGGGCTTTGCTAGCCTTGAGGGAACCAATACAAAGTGATGGTGTTGGACCCTTTAGGTATGGGTGAACAAGACGCAGAAGGAATATTTGTGTTGTCTACAAAAGGCGGCTCTGGGCTCTCCCAGGGGTCTGACATGGCAGAGCAGGAGCTTGAAAGGCAGTGGGGTGTCACGCATGGAACACTCAGCCTGAGCACGCCCTGGATAGGCACCAGCCCCGGCAGCTCCCGCAGGTTGTCCGTGCGCTGCCGATGGACCGTTCTGCCAGAAAGTTGTGGGCAGGGCCCAAGAACAGAACAGGCTGTGGGGGCGAGGACAAAGCCTGCGAGCAGAGCAGCGTAGGCTGGGTGTGCCAACGTGGTGGAACGGATGTGTCATGGGGGAATAGGAGAGAGTGCCCATGAAGGAATAGCTGCCTGCAGTGCTCGGGCTTCACGTTTACCCCAGGTACCGCTTCAGAGCTTGTGCTGGAGCGGTGCTGCGGGTGCCGGAAAGCCACTGTCACCGGCTGGG